TTATATCAGTAACAGTACCAATATCTAATATTGAATAATAATATACATCCTGATACACACCTTATTATTAATATCAGTAACAGTACCAATATCTAATATTGAATAATAATATACATCCTGATACATACCTTATTATTAATATCAGTAACAGTACCAATATCTAATATTGAATAATAATATACATCCTGATACTTACCTTGATATTAATATCAGTAACAGTACCAATATCTAATATTGAATAATAATATACATCCTAGTTCTTACCTTATTATTAATATCAGTAACATATATATATTGTTGAATACATTCACTACCAATCTTCACATCTAATATATAAGCAGTAAGAACACCCATATCTTCATCAGGATAAAACCAAGATACAGTAAGATTTCTACTATTGATGTTAGTTATAATTAAATCTTTAACAGGATCAGACCCTAAATTAAACATTAGTATCATTAATAACATAACGATCAGTTCAGTATATATTCGCTGTCCCATGTAAAGGTTTGTTAAAAAATGACCCAAGTCCAATCACTGTCCAAATTCCCATGTGGATTTATAAAGATAGCCTTGCAAAACAAGGTGACTTATACGCTCACCAGCAGCTTTGATTACAAGTATAAATCACTGTTGCCTGTATAGTGAGCATGAAACAATTGTGAACCGAAAGACGGGTGACAATATGCTTCCATACTACGCGTGGGCTTATAAAAATGAACAGAATCCATAAAGAATTGTTGCCTCAAGAGTGAAAAGTTGCACTATATGTCTAATAGAGTGAGTTCACTAAGTTGAAAACAACATTTTGGTGAAAAATTATCTGATCATCCTGAAAATCGATGAAACATGACGATGAAAAGGGATCATCTTCATAATGATATTGACCTACAAAATAAAAATCAGAAGAATCCATAAAGAATTGTTGCCTGTAGAGTGAGCACGAGTTGCACAATACAGTTTATAGAGTGAAAACGCTAGGTCGCACACGACATTTCGGTGCAAAGTTATCAGATCATCAAGAAAATCGATTAGGATCATGAACTTCATAATGACATTGACCTACAAAATAAAAACCATTTGAATCTGTGTAGAATTGTAGCCTGTAGAATGAGCACGAGCCAAATGTGAAAGGACCGATGGGCCGTCAGGGTAATTACAATATACTCCCAAAATATATAAATGCATCTTGCAAGTAACATGAGCGTTTTCAGTCCAGGATATCTGTGTTGAAACAATCGTTCCATGTTTTTTAAATCATAAACAGTGGATGCCCGAAACTGATATCCATGATGTTCCTTTAGCAACTGTACAAACTGTTCAAACAATTTATATACTACTGTGCTAAAGTAACATGGATATTCATATCATACGCTTTTTTGTACCATGAAAAAGATGGTTTGTGTTTCGGTATCGGAAGTGGAAATTATATGAATACCAACCTACTGAAAGTGTGTTGAAAACACCTACAAACTCTATAACAATTTGTGTCCTAAACAAGAATGAGAATGACAAATTAGATTACTCATCTTACTATTGTAGAGTTTAAACCAGTAGAAAGTTAATGTTACTTACTGGTACTATCAGTTATCTCATCAGACACAGCATCTTCAGTAGTACTACCTCTATCAGTTCTAACTTTAGTTGTTATCTTAATATTAGTATAATCAGTTCCTGATGATAGACCAGTTACTGTATCAGTACGAGCTGTAGAGACCTGAATAGTTGTATCTTGAAAACTGTTTCCACTGATTACATATTCATTAATATAAGTATCACTGGGTACATTCCAAGAGAAAGTTAAGCTAGTAGCAGTTGAACCTGTCGCTCTAAAATTAGTTGGCTTCAATTCAGACACTAGAAGAAATTTAACGTAGTGAACAAAGGAAATAACTCATAATATAACTCTTTTAAGGGCAAACTCTTCGTCCAAATAGAGCCAAATTAGAACTTGCCTGAGACCTCATCAATATATAAAAGCATATCAAGTCTCAACAAGATCGGATAAAAACCATAGCCTCTATCGTGTTTATAAACCACATTTTTACGTGCTTTTACTAAGTCAAGGGCAATAACTCAAAAACTGTTCAATAAAAACAAGCCAATTCTAACTTGACAGAGATCACATCAGTAAACACATGCATACCAAGATCCATTCAGATCAGATCAATGGTGTTTACTAGAAATGTGAATGGACAGGTGGACATAAAATATAATTATTACTAAGTCAAGGGCAATAACTCAAAAACTGTTCAATAAAAACAAGCCAGTTCTAACTTGACAGAGATCACATCAGTAAACACATGCATACCAAGATCCATTCAGATCAGATCAATGGTGTTTACTAGAAATGTGAATGGACAGGTGGACATAAAATATAATTATTTATATGTATTACAAAATATATTATTACCTGGTTTACATTGATTATTTATATTCACCAGATTTATATTTACATCTAGAATTACTATCTTTATAAATTTCTAATTATTTATATGTATCACTAAATATAAATATATTATTACCTGGTCTACATTGATTATCAGATCTATATTCACCAGATTTATATTTACATCTAGAATTACTATCTTTATAACTTTCTAATTATTTATATGTATCACTAAATATAGATATATTATTACCTGGTTTACATTGATTATCACATCTATATTCACCAGATTTATATTTACATCTAGAATTACTATCTTTATAAATTTCTAATTATTTATATGTATTACTAAATATAGATATATTATTACCTGGTCTACATTGATTAGTAGATCTATATTCACCAGATTTATATTTACATCTAGAATTACTATCTTTATAACTTTCTAATTATTTATATGTATTACTAAATATAGATATATTAATAATTGGTCTACATTGATTATCACATCTATATTCACCAGATTTATATTTACATTTAGAATTACTATCTTTATAACTTTCTAATTATTTATATGTATCACTAAATATAGATATATTATTACCTGGTTTACATTGATTAGTAAATCTATAATAACCAGTATTACATTTACATGTTGAAGTAGCAGTATAACATATTAAATCAGGAATACAGACTTCATTTGAATTACTGCAATCTCCATTATATCCTAATTCTATAAAATATATAAAAATAACATGCAGATAGATGATATAAATATAATATTTTCAAAGCCATCTACCTATCTAATTCTGTATTTAATAATAGGTTAAAATATGTTTTTGAATATTATTTAGTTAGTTCTCCGGTCTCTCAGCCAGAGAAGAGTCAGAACTAAAAAACAGTTTCCTCGGATTTCTAACAATGTTAATCGGATTTTGATATATTTACTTTTTTTCACTAAAAGAGTCTGATTTCTCAAATATTTCATTCAAAATATATCATCCCACGGGATTATAATTTATCGCTGTAATAATTCAAGATAAAAGGTACAGAACATATAACATACTTACTTATTGTACATGAAGTTAATTAATGAGAAAACACGCTAACCAAAAACTTACTTGGATAACAATTATTATCATATAGGTAATGATCATCTTGACATCCACATTTATTATTGATACATGTTAAATTACCAGTACATGGCTGTGTATCACTTGGGTTACAGTTACTACCAGATTCTACTTCTATAAAATAAATTATCATATGTATTATTACATGTTAAATTACCAGTACATGACTGTGTATCACTTGGGTTACAGTTACTATCAGATTCTACTTCTATAAAATAAATTATCATTATTATATTATTACATGTTAAATTACCAGTACATGACTGTGTATCACTTGGGTTACAGTTACTACCAGTTGGTTGTTCTATAAAATAAATTATCAATATTATTTATTATTACATGTTAAATTACCAGTACATGACTGTGTATCACTCGTGTTACAGTTACTACCAGGTGGTTGTTCTATAAAATAAATTATCAGATGTATTATTACATGTTAAATTACCAGTACATGACTGTGTATCACTCGGGCTAGAACTGCTGATAGATTCTTGTTCTAAAAACTAAATCATCATGATATCATATCTTAATCTTCATCGTAATATTACATTACCAGTGTCATCATACATTCTTAATCAGTTTGACAGTTATTATTATGTTTAATTTTATCGCTTGTTTATTTATTGTCGATTAATTTTTTATGTATGGACATAAGTTGGACGAAATACAAATTTCTTTCCCCATATAATGTAATAAACCCTCCAGTTAAACATATTCAATATGAAAAAATACTTATTAAGTAATTCTTAGTCTAATAAATCTTTTCCTGGATGTAATCTCACCTCTTCTGGGCTTATGGCATGATTGTTCATTTTACATGTTAATTATGATATTACTTTGAGCTTTGATTAAAATTGTTCAATACTTACTTGTTGTGGTTGGTACTGCCTCTGATTTAACTTCATACTTTGGATTTCTATCAGTATTAACTATAGATATAACTTTAATACTGTACATAGTACCAGGTTGTAAACCAGTAATTTCACTAGATGTAGCAGTGTTACTTATACTAGATTTATTTATAATACCATTTACTTCTATACTAATACTGGTTATAAATTGACTATTGGTTGGTAGGGTCCATGTAACTGTTGCAGTGTTAGTCTTTGGAATTAAACCAGCAATAGTGGTTTTCAATTCTGCAGCTGTAATTAAAGTCATCGAAGTTTACACATCCACAATATATTACGTTGGTCTTAAAACTTGATTAGTAAAACAAATCATAAAAATATGATTGAAATTCAAAGTCTGTCAAAGCATAATGTGGCCAATTTTTTCCTAATTACATTTTTAAACATATACAATGTATGCTGGAGTTTCGAAGGAAGAGCCACATGTTTAAATAAATTTGACAAAGATGAACATGGTATAATTTTACAAAGTTTATAATCTTATTTCTTCTGTTTAATATAAGAAAGACCAAGTCGCATTCACCAATAGAGAAATCACATGAAACCACGTCAGCTTTACAATCCAATGGGTTAAAAAAGAAAATATTTCTTTTCATCATAAGAAAATCTGTATGATCTGTGTTAAACATGATTTTGACAGACCCATTATCCTCAAGGCCTGGTCATTGTGACATGTTATCTTAGAACAGAGCAGAACAGAATACTTGTTACTTTCAGATCTTGAGAAAAAGCTGTTTTTACATATTGCCAGATTTGAGAAAAACAACAACCTCATTTAGTTAACTATTTATAATAGAACTTACCATTAAAACACTGAATATTGTTTGTATAGAAACTAGTTTGATAGTAATATTATTGTTACTATTTTATAATATAACTTACCATTAAAACACTGATTATTGTTTGTATAGAAACTAGTTTGATAGTAATATTATTGTTACTGTTTTATAATATAACATACCATTATTACACTGATTATTGTTTGTATAGAAACTAGTTTGATAGTAATATTATTGTTACTATTTTATAATATAACTTACCATTATTACACTGATTGTTGTTTGTATAGAAACTAGTTTGATAGTAATATCATTGTTACTATTTTATCTTACCATTAAAACACTGATTATTGTTTTGTATAGAAACTAGTTTGATAGTAATATTATTGTTACTATTCTATAATATAACTTACCATTATTACACTGATTGTTGTTTGTATAGAAACTAGTTTGATAGAAATATTATTGTTACTATTTTATAATATAACTTACCATTATTGCACTGATTATTGTTTGCATAGAAACTAGTTTGATAGTAATATTATTGTTACTATTTTGTAATATAACTTACCATCATTACACTGATTATTGTTTGTATAGAAACTAGTTTGATAGTAATATTATTGTTACTATTTTATAATATAACTTACCATTATTACACTGATTATTGTTTGTATAGAAACTAGTTTGATAGTAATATTATTGTTACTATTTTATAATATAACTTACCATTATTACACTGATTATTGTTTGCATAGAAACTAGTTTGATAGTAATATTATTGTTACTATTTTATAATATAACTTACCATCATTACACTGATTATTGTTTGTATAGAAACTAGTTTGATAGTAATATTATTGTTACTATTTTATAATATAACTTACCATTATTACACTGATTATTGTTTGTATAGAAACTAGTTTGATAGTAATATTATTGTTACTATTTTATAATATAACTTACATTATTACACTGATTGTTGTTTGTATAGAAACTAGTTTGATAGTAATATCATTGTTACTATTTTATAATATAACATACCATTATTACACTGATTGTTGTTTGTATAGAAATTAGTTTGATAGTAATATTATTGTTACTATTTTATAATATAACTTACCATTATTACACTGATTATTGTTTGTATAGAAACTAGTTTGATAGTAATATCATTGTTACTATTTATAATATAACTTACCATTATTACACTGATTATTGTTTGTATAGAAACTAGTTTGATAGTAATATCATTGTTACTATTTTATAATATAACTTACCATTAAAACACTGATTGTTGTTTGTATAGAAATTAGTTTGATAGTAATATTATTGTTACTATTTTATAATATAACTTACCATTATTACACTGATTATTGTTTGTATAGAAACTAGTGTGATAGTAATATTATTGTTACTATTTTATAATATAACTTACCATTATTACACTGATTATTGTTTGTATAGAAACCTTCTTTACAGTAACATTTATTACCATCTCCAATATCTACACATTCTGTATTTGGATCACCACATTGATCAGTACCTGGTGTAACACATGTTTCTCTATATCCAGCCTCTGTATAACAAGAAAATGTTATTAACTATGACGACTTTATTTTAAATGGAAGGGATCGCCATTTTCGAGGGTTGATTTGGGTCTTGAGTATATGTAAATAATCCTCAGAGGTAGGCCTACTTTTCTATATATAATATGGCAGATTCTCAAGAAAAGACGAGTCGCCATCTTCACTTTCAAACGTGGATAATTCTGGACACACATGGATTTGAAGATTCATATTTCGGCGGTGAGAAATTACGATTGGTCAAGCGGACGGCTAACCTAAAACGTTTAATTGCAAATCAAAAATATTTCATTTTAGTCCAGTTCCAATATTCGGTCCATTTCCTTTAATATTAAAACTCTGTATAGCATCTTTTGTAGGAACTGTCCACTTTATAGTTACACTACTTGATGTTGGTGTTCCTTCTATTACAACACCGGTAGGTTTTAGTTCAGCAACTAAAATACAACAAATATAATACAGTATAGATTTTCTTATAAATTCTGTGTGAAAGAAAAGTTTTGAGTCCATTTTCTGACAAAATTTCAATTTCCCTATTTCAATTTGAAATAATCTTTTGCAGCATAAAAGGCTCCCTCAAAACATAGGATGACCCGGGTTTGGACCCCTTGAAACATTTTGTGGCCCCTGCTGGCCCCCCTTACCTAAGTTTGCTAGAAACGCCACTGGTTATGAAGTAAGTAATGAAATTGGTCGGTTGTCAGAAATTTTTTTGAGTGTAGTCAATCTTTCCTTGAAATTATGCTCACCTGGTTTACACATGTTGTTATCTGTATAATAATTCTCATTACAGGAACATTTTGTCATATAACAACTACCATTTACAACATTACAAGAGTTTTCTGTGGTACAAGAATCACCATATCCTCCTTCTGAAAATACATATAATAATTCACCATTTACACATTTTTCAAATTAAACAGTTGATGACTCAATTTCCTTTTATTTCCCTACATCAGAGTCAACTTTCCTGAATGGATACAAATTAACACATAAAAAATATAATCATATGTAAATACCTTTTTCTTAAAATCCTAGTCTATTTCGATGATAGCTTTCCCTTTTTAGTATAATAGCTAATATCATGTATATAGTTTTGAATACATTATTTTGCGATTTTCTTCATAATGCAAAACAAAAATAACCATCTAGAAAGCTATTTCAATTTTCAAAATTTCAATTTCACAATGAATATGAAGCGATTGTATCATGAAAAGCAAAACATAAAAGCTCACTACACAATAAACGTAATCAAACAAACTACTAAAATTACTACTGTAAAGTAAAATTAATTGTATAAGTTATTGATATACAAAAGATAACTGGCGGCATGTATAATTCGTGAATACTAGACCGCACTATATTTATCTTAATATATAAACTTATATTATTATTACCATCATGATATTGAGTATCATCACAAACACATTTTCTATCGGTATCAGATGAGCATGTCAAGTTACCAAGACATTCAGTGGTACTGGTACACACTCCATTAATACCTAGTTCTGATAATTAAAACATAGATATATTCAATAGGTATTCTTATCAAACAACAGTTTTCATCAAAAAGAGAATTTTATATTTTACTCAGAAAAACCTATCAATAATTCAAATTTTAAAAACTTAAATGATCAGTTTCGAAGCATTTTTGCAATTTTTGCAAAGAATAAAACGTAAGAAAAAAAGTAAAATACGACAGTAATTTACTCTAGAGACTATTAGAGAATTTGTCTTAAATATGGCTACTGTATTCTAAAATATTCTATCGACCTGTATTCAGTTATTGTAAATAGAATGTAATTACTGGGTAATTAATTAATTTGTAAAATCAGAATCCAAGACCGATAAAAGTCAGAGAAGTTGCTATCATGTCTCAAAAGTTTGGATAACTGAATAGATTTTATTTCTATATAATAAACAAAACATATCTCATGCAACTAATGTAAAAAAAAGAAGAGTTGTTGAAATGACTGGGTAATTAATTAATTTGTTAGTTTCTAATTTAACTAATAAAAATTCCTCAATAAAAACTACAAAAATCAAAAGAAAATATCTATAAATGGTAAAATCCCGACTACACTATATCTATCTTAATATAAACTTACTCTGGAGACATTCATTCTAACCACCATGATAATGAGTACTATCACAACCACATTTACTATCAGTATAGCCAGAGAAATTGTTATCATGTCTTGTTATTTTAGATAAATATAATTTTCACTATCAACCATCAAAGATAGATCAACGTTTATCAATGATGACTTTCATTCCGTAGGTTCGCAACTAGAGACATTTTCTTACGTTAAATAATGTATATACCTAGAAATGCCAATACTAAAAACTGTTGTTATTTCTATACAATTAGCAACACAATTTGAGACCAAATTCTATACAATATCTAATTCTGTAAGACAAACTATAAAGACCAGAATATTTAAAGCAAAAAAGAAAGTAGATTGACTACTATATAATAACAGCAATTGCAAAAAAAATATTTGATCAGAATGATATTCTGGTTTATCAAAAACGATTATGACTTAAACTCAGTACCGGTACAGAGAAATATTATTCAATATAAACAATAAAAAATCAAAAGTCAAATCCTGTGAGAAGTTAATTCTAGAGTATTCTAGACTATGCTACACTATATTTATCTTAATATAAACTTACTCTGAACGCAATTAATATTACCATCATGATAATGAGTATTATTATCACAACCACAATTACCATCAGATAAACATGTCAAGTTACCAAAACATTCTGTGGTACTGTTACATATCCCATTAAATCCCGATTCTAATAAATTAACACATATTATAATCAATAGTCAAACAACAACTTTCATCAAATTTTTTTTATTATTCTAAAGGCGAATTTTATATATTACATTTTATAAATTTGCTGCCTAGACAACATGAAATTTGACCTAAAGATGTGTCCTGTAGTATCTATTATTTGAATCATACATGTATTTAACTAATGTAAAAAAAGAAGAGTTGTTGAAATTAATTATTTTGTTTAAATATTCTTTAATATCCAAAGCAAACATCTATAAATGATAAAATCTAGACTGCACTATATTTGTTTTAATATAAACTCACCCAGAACACAAGTATTATTACCATCATAATAATGAGTATCATTACAACCACAAATACCATTAGTACGAGATGAACATGTCAAGTTACTATAGACATCCTATAGAACTGTTACATGTTCCATTAAATCCTGGTTCTAACAAATTAAAACATTCTAGTTCATATCAAACAATATTTGTCATCAGTAAAGATTATTGATTATTTGAAATGACAGTTATATATTTTAATCGAAAATGCTATCAATATTATTTGTATTTTAAATTCACAACTGAATTGCTTTGAAACATTTTTGGATCTTATCAAAAAAAGAAAAAAAGGAAACTGAACCAAAAAAACCAAAACTTAATTAATGTAGAATCTTTAATATAAATATACATTTTCCCGTTAGAAAAGATGGCTTCACGAGAACTAACTTACAGATGTGTCCTGTATTTTCAATCATTTGTATTCACACATTTAATCAGTTATTGTTGGCTAAATAGAAAGTAGAGCTGTTGTAATGATTCATTAAGTTGTACTTGATTTGTCTATTTAAAATCAGAACCAAAATGTTTACCATCAAGGATCACGAGGGAGGATAACTTCAAAGTACTATCATTAATGACCATCAAAGACAGCCAATCAATGATGAATACCATTCGTTAGATTCCCAACTAGAGACATGTTTGTGGCCTTTTAATAAATAATATGTACCTATGTACCAATACTAAAACATCTAATTAAATTCGTATTATTTCTTTACAAAAAGTAAAAATAAACATATGAAAGAAACTTCCATTAATGTACAACACATCATCGCGATAAGATCTTTAGTCTTCAATTAATATATAGCACATACATTGTGCTAAGATCTTTAGTAACTTCAATTAATATACAGCACATACATTGTGCTAAGATCTTAAGTAACTTCAATTAATATAAAGCACATACATTGTGCTAAGATCTTTAGTCTTCAATTAATATTAAGCACATACATTGTGCTAAAATCTTTAGTAACTTCAATTAATATACAGAACATACATTGTACTAAGATCTTCAGTAACTTCAATTAATATACAGCAGCACATTCATTGTGCTAAGATCTTTAGTCTTCAATTAATATAAAGCACATACATTATGCTAAGATCTTTAGTCTTCAATTAATATAAAGCACATACATTGTGCTAAGATCTTTAGTCTTCAATTAATATACAGCACATACATTATGCTGAGATCTTTAGTCTTCAATTAATATACAGCACATACATTGTGCTAAGATCTTTAGTCTTCAATTAATATAAAGCACATACATTATGCTGAGATCTTTAGTCTTCAATTAATATAAAGCACATACATTGTGCTAAGATCTTTAGTCTTCAATTAATATAAAGCACATACATTGTGCTAAGATCTTTAGTAACTTCAATTAATATATTGAGCTAAGATCATATCATTTATTTAATAAATGCTCATTGAATAAAATATATTTCAATCCGAAGAAATAAGTGTGCTTATTTTTGACTTAGTCTTTGTAATTGCTCTAATTCAAACTCAATCTTTATCCTTCAAATATTCCTTGTTTTAAGAAAAAGATTGAAAACTGAAGATCTTTTCCAACTTTCCAACGAAAACGAATCTGTACCGACAAAATTAGATTGCTTATAATGTTCACCGTCTTTCCAACAATGAACGAAACCCTAACGTAAGCCGAAAACCAAACTTACACGAATACATTTCTAATTTCTCGGCAGATATTTTTTAGCTTATATCAAATCATTATATCAAATCATTGATATTCAATTACTAAACAAATCGAATGAACAGATGAACAGATGAACAGATAAACATATTAATTTATACATCATTGCGAAATTGTGTAAATATAACTTTTTTTAAAATAAAAATTAAATCTAATATATGGATTTTAAAACGTTCAGTATTAACTGAAAAATAACTTTCAAACTTAGTATCATTTTGCATAGTGAAAGTATGACCTGTGTCGTGACATTCATAGCTTCAATTAGCTTTTATTCAAGCAGAATGTTTATGTTTGTTTCAATCTATGATAAATTGTTCTGTATTCCGTCACACTCTAATTGGTAACTTTAACTGTTAAGAGAACGCAATGTCCTACAAGCAGATTCACTAATACTATACCTGTAGATAAAACAATGAGAACTAGATCTTTTCAGTATAAAATATCTGAACGACAGTAGCTAATTTCATCTAATTTCATTCTATTTTCATAAATAATCAGATGTACCCATACTTCTCAATATCTGTAGGAAATAAAAACTCATCCGAACTGACTATTTGAATACTCGGTATAACAGACTAAAGGGTTCAATATTACGAGTAAATTGTAATTGTTTAAATAAGGCTTCATCTGAAAAGAATGAAGGACTTACTTGCTGTACAAACTCCACTAGAATCATAATAGTCAGCAGTACATTGACATCGATTACTGTTATCACATTGATATCCTCCTGTACCTGTAGGATCACCACCACATGTTGTAACATTACCTTCAGTACAACTGTCTCCAACATTACATGATACCTGAAATATCATTTAAAGGAAATAGTTTTGTAATAGGAAATGTCATTTATAAAAAAGCAAAGTATCATCGATGTGTGTGATCGTCAATATATGAAAAGTCTTATTCATTTCTACCTGTGATCACATCTGTAAGTCAGGAATAAAAACTGCCCAAAACCATAAATTTGTAATAACAAATCTAATTATCTGAATTTGTACATGCCCGCATTATCAGTTGCCAGTACGCCGACAATGTGCATCGTACGTTTCGTGGATTTTCCTATGGTGCCGATAATGCTAAATGTATGTTTTCGTGGATTTTCATTGCCATGGTGACAATGGATGTTTTCTGTGATTTTCATTGCAATTGTGTTGAGAGTAAAATGTATTTTTTTGGGGACTTCCATTACCATTGCGATAATGCACAATATAAAAAGGTCGCTCGTCGTAAACAAACAAATCATAGTCATCTAAATTGGCAAGAGGTGACAATGAAATCAACAAATGGATAGACATATATATAAAATTTGTGATGTCTTATCTTGACAGCATATACCGCATTTCCTGAGTCCTTATGTCATCCCTTTAGAAAATGCAGCACAAAATATGAAAATCCACACAAGAAACTCATTACCAAATCAACGTATACTATAAACTTTAAGAGTCGACAATTACTTCAAAATATAAAACTCGTGCGAAAAATGGAAAGAAATAAACTCAGTTATGATTATTTCCTTTTTTTTTTTATCACCAGAACATGTTTAAAGGGACAGATTCGCCATCTGTTTGCCCAATCGTACCTTAGTCTCAGAAACAGGAATCATTTAAGTATGTGTCAAGAATTATCTGCGTTTGAAAGTTAAAATGACGAATCGCCTTTTCTTGAGAAAGTGAAATTTCTAGTTGAAGTATATTTGAAGGATTAAGCGATTTCCGGGCAGTTCAAGACCTAAGGCCATTCCCGAATAGGTCAATAATGAGCTTTAATTGCAACCCCCCCCCCCCCCCTACCCCTTCTGGACGCGGACTATACCTAGTGATAAATGCATTTAAAAAGAGAGTAACGTAGATTTATCATTCTTTCAAGAGTTACGGGTTCAAATATTGTGACTAACGAACAACGCAAACTGATTGATAACACATTATTTACTTACTTGGCCTAATAGCAATAAACATAAGAGGTATATTATGTTGATAAAATGGTTGCACGTCATTGTTCTCCCATCAAGCTTTCAATACTTCATGCGACTCAATTTAAAATGCTGCGAATCCAGGAAATCCTTAGGCTTTTTAAATAAACTTCCTTGTTGGAGATCTTATATTTTCATTTTCATCACGTGACATTCCAAAATACATATTCGTATTACAATATATAACATAATAAGAAATATATAATGCATTCATAACATGTATAAGAGTCCAGGCTATTATAACATTCAAGGGCTTGTTTAATATTCAGATTTTAATTTGATTAGCATATACTTTTGTTGAATACGTAATGGTAATACACAAAGTATAATACATGTCAATGACCGGTATCTATTTGCACATAGTAATACAATTCATTATGACAAATACAACATACTTGCTCGATTGCTTGACAAGTGCTTGAAAGTAGTGTAAGTAAAATAATAACATTTTCGAAATGTGGAATAAACCTACATATAATATTTATACGAAATGACAAAGAATTGTTCAGCGAAATGCTTTGTTTCGTTTTGAATGTTTTATTAGCTATTACCTTTGCACGTAACCACTACAGTAAGGTCTAACACTGTCCTTCTTCACTTTTCATTCTGTTAAACTTTTCTAAAACCTCTGTTTTAACCAATCACGTGGCTGCCCTTTCCAGCGACGGGATAATATGACGCGAACAGTAGGTGCATGCCGAGGCGTATTAGAACGGAAATTGGGTCTAATTTTAATTAGACTGGGGAAACGTCGAAGCTTTGTTTGTTCTGACGCCAATTTGAAAGGTCATTTCCAAAACATGGAAAATATCATTAAAGTTTTGTGATGGTTTGTTTCTATGGTTCATGTGTTAAAAGCTATGCTGAAATCAAATGTGTCGACCAAGGCCAGTGCTTCTATAACACCTATACTACGTCATAATAACGTTTTGAAACTATTTTAAATAATAAAGAGAATTCGTTGAATAGCTCTTAGTAACAATCTGATTTAATCTAGAATTCAACGTTTTTTAAAGTTACTTCCCTTGATATAATCCATGCAAGCTTTCCTCTCACATAAGTTATGTTGTGTGGACATTCTGTACAAAAGCTATTAAGATAGCTTGCCAGGCAAGGTAACATACCACTGCCGGTTCACTGGCAACTTGGATTTTTAAATAATATTGGACAATAGGCCTACAGTAACAATCACCATGCAGTATGAAATATTCAACCCATAGTCAAACACTTTTTTCGAACATTTTTGGGCGATAATGAACAATATAACCATGGTTTGTCCAAATCCGGCAAGAATTGTAACTTCTGGGATTTAGGTTATTTACGAGCTAAAAATTGAACGCGTTTTCAAGAACAAGGGCAATAACTCATTTTAAATCTTTTCACGTTAAGTGACACACAATTGCATTGCTTTGCTTGTTACAGAATGTGCTACAATGCTTCCCTTTAAAAATATAGATTTAAAACTGTGGACTGAAGAAGGGATACAACTCTTTTTCAGCTAAGATTTCGACAGATTGATCGGCCGACCGTTCATTGAGGAACTCTTTTGGTTGATTTTATCAATGACGTTCTTACCACCACAATGAGACGCAGAACAATCTGTTTTTGGATTGCTCGTTCATTTACAAAGTCTTGCATGACAAACAACGAGTAGATTTTGTACTGTTGACAAGATGTGCTAAAGATTTAGATTTAGATAAGGTTGACACTTCAAACCCATATCCTTAAAAATAACCATTTTTGTCATGAAAATTTTGAGCAATGCACTGAAATTATGGATCTGTATAGAAATTAATATTTCCATTTACATGAAGGTTTTGGACACCGAATGAGGAGAAATGTCTTTTGGCATAGCGAGTTTTGCAAAACATAATATCAAATTAGTCTTTATCGATTTGGTTCACAAGAAAGTGCGGCAAGGTCATTATAATCGGTGGTTGAACAAAGTCCACGGGCCCCAAAGGGCGCATACCCCAGGCATTAAATTGACTTACAAATGGGTCTCGGGGGCAGAAGATCATAATGTGAAAGAAAACATTCCGAGGGAGGCGCCCCAACTGTCGAGGTTGAGATATGAAATGCAGCTTCTCCGAGGAGGCGTCATAGTCGCATCTGAGAGGCTTCTCCTAAGGATATTTTCGAAAATTTGAATTTATTTGCTACATATTTTGGGGCACTACTCCAGCTTTCCCGGTTTATATCTGACAGCGACAAAAAATCACATTTCGAAAAAAATTCATGTCCAATATCAACTTTTACTACACTACATTTACGCTTGCTAAAAGCTGTTCTGGATCCATACATCCAAGTCGGTCTTTAGTCTGTATAGTACCTGTACACTTAATGGACGACTACCGGCTACCTTGACTCTTATATAACAATTACATGTAAAAACTGATAAATTGTCGTGTTCGCTTGTCAATCGGACAAGACACCCAAAGGCATTTTAAAATATCATATTGTAACTTGATCTCGACATGATTTGACTGAAACGAGGTCACGGCGACAAACTAAACTGCTCTCCCAACTCCATGTAAAGGAGACTCGACTCAGTCAGCCATGTCGTAATGTAAGGGCGTCAATAGTTTGTTTCTCTGCCTGTTTGATAAGGATATTATGTTTTATTTCGTCGATCACGTGGTTGCCGGGATTTTATTGTCGGTATGAGGAAGTTTAAAAGACAATTTTGTTCCTGATTGATATTCTCTGGAGTAGGAAAGCCGAAAAACCAGACAGTGGGCCATCGGGAAGTTTCCTCGACACACCTGGACATTACAGGTCAAAGACAACGGTTAATTGGATATATACTTGGCCTATATAAAGTATCATAACATTGTGACACATCTACTTCGTGTCGACATATTTAAACTGGATAAGTCTATGGCGTTGGATTTAGAATCTTATTGAAGGGATATCTTTGTGATTTTGGGAACGACAGCTACGAGAATGGGTGACAGGTATATGATCCTTGTATACCTGTCCATTTTGACAGCACTCTTATCTTCAGAGGTTAGTAAGTTCAAGTTATTTCATTGATGAATAGGACTGAAATATGGGTTAATGAGTTGCTTGTACATTAGCTGACCCAATTAGTTAGCTAATAATACGAATTATCAATTAGTATATACACAAAAATATACATATATTAGTAATTGCTAAGATTAATTGGAGCATAGTTAAAGATACATTCTTAACCATTGTTGAAATCATAATGGCCGACGTTTGACAGCCAATCAGATTCAATACTCACTTTGTCATCTCTTATTTCAACATGTCAAGTCTGCCTTGGGTTTTGGTTTTATCTATTGGGAGTCAATATTTCAATTTATTCAACCTTACAGGCCTGATTAGGTTTTGAATTTATGTCCTTATATAAAGATAATCTATAAAAAGTGTAGTAGACTGTTTTTGTCTTAAAGGGACGGAATCACCATTTTCGAGGGTTGATTTGGTTCTTGAATATATATAAATAGTCTTCAGAAGTAGGCTACTAGTAATGTACGATAAAAATATCTTAACCTGAGAATTTCTCTTTCTATTGAACTATATGTCTTTTCTATAATATATTACTGAGTCTCGAGATATGAGGAGTCCTCATTTTAACTATCAAACGCGGATAATTATGGACATACATGAATTTGAAGGCTCAAATTTGGACAGTGAGTTGTGCTCACTATCACTAGTAAGCTGAGCGGGAAAAATCCTTTTCTGAGACTATGGTATGATTGGTCAATCGGATGGCAACCTGCAACTTTAACCCTATTGGTTTCATTAATGCAGACCTTGACTGTATAGCTTAACCATATACCGTAATCATTATTGCTATCTGTTTTCCATGTAACAAAATAGAAGATTGACAATTATACATAAGCATGCACTTTACTTTTCTTTATTTTGACCTCATTGGGGAAGGATGGTATACAAAATGATGTGCGGTGCAACGGTAATTTTCGTCAATACAGCAACAGCAAAAAAACCACACTGGATGAATTTTGCAACGTTAGAGGGACAAAAAGTAAATCACCATAGCCATCCATCCATTTCAACTTCCCTTAAGAAATTTTACGGCCAACATCATGAACTAATTGAAAAATATAGAATATCTATTTCTACTATCATCGCAGATGTTTTTGTCTAACAACCAAGTTTACACAGGTGATATGTTGTCATCGCAATGGTATGTCGAGTTACCACCAGATGATTCTATAATTTTACACTAGGTTTTGTTTTGCCTCCCTGTTGTGTTTTGTTGGCAAGCGGTGGGTTCCAGGCAGGGTAGGCCTATGCTTACTCTTCTGATCACATGGTGTCACATTATTAAGTGCTTCCTCATGGCTGCAGGTGTAAGCTACATTTTTTCTTATCGTAATAAAATATTTGTAACAAGTTCCCTCCCTTGACTTTTGAAATTAAAGAAATATATTTGCATCAGTTATGTCCCTTGAACGTAACTTATTGTAGTGTTTGTTGTGTATGTTGAGCAGCTATGATGGTCGTGCTCCAGGGTATGCTTACTATTCTAGACACTGGATACACCACTTTTTTGATGAAATTCTATCACTCACTTATGATTGATATACTTCCTTAGTTGCAAGATAGCAGCGAAATGTTTGTTTTGGGATTTCAGGTTTCATTTTGCAGGATCGGATCTTCAGGACCTGGTTTATTTATTCATAATTGTTTATGACTAGAAAATTTTTAATGTGCAAGATTACAGGCATTAACTTAAGGAATAGCTCGAATTCAAACTTGGGTTTATCAAAACTATTATTCCAGTCAAGTGTGGACAGAATTATAAAATTCACATGAGAGATGTGGGTGGATAAAGATTCAGTGCATTGTCTGAAAGTGGATACATTCTATTGTAGTTAAACAATACTATATATAATGTAGAAATATATAATGTATAGTAAAATGGAAGATCAATAACAAGATTGACACACCCGTTTGTTTACAAGACTTTTAGCTGATGAGCTATAAAACAATAAGAAGTATTCTGATGGAACAATAAGCTTCCAAAAAGA